AAATTATGATTTTTTTTAAATGAATATAATATCAAAAGTAATGCTAAAAGTGCTTAATTATTATAGATAAGTGTATAAATTGGCCTAATAGATTAAGCCAAGCCAAGAAACTTTGAACTCTGATAAGCTTTGAACACTATTAACTTGTACTCAGTATCTTAACTGAACAACACAAGCTATACCAAACAAGTAAGCATTATTATAAATAGCCAGATTTTTCCTGAGATGTTCATTTTGTGCCTTTGCCTTACAAGAACGACCAGACACTCCGTTCGATTACTATTAGTTAAACATGTCAGGTTTAGGTGAATCGTTATGACAGCGAACAATGAGTCATGCTCACCTTCACTTTTGACTGGAGATATCTTTACCATTGTACACCTACTTGAACATCAAACCGCCAACTGGGACCTCTCAGCAAGGAATGGAGATTACAAGCTAGTAATAAGATGGAAAAAGTCCAGACAACATGAAGAGCAGACCGAGTCACCTACATTACAAAAGACACGGAAAAGGTCATCAAAAGCTAGAACAGACAGGAATAAACGCCGTCTAGAAGCTACTATGTTTCCACTGGTTTACAGTCTCCTACCCGGTAAAGATCAGCAGATATACACAAGGCTACTCACTATTCTTCAAGATCTATGTAACCAATTCAACATACTACTACAACCAGCTACGATGTTCCTCGACTACGAAATAGCCATCATAAACGCAGCCACTTCAATCTTCCCAGGAATCAACATTAAGGGGTGCTTTTTCCACTACACTCAGTGTATCTGGCGAAATGCACAGAAGCATAGTTTGCAGACTGAATACAGTGAAAAAGGCGACATTCACCAACTTATTCGAAGAGCTACAGTTCTGCCACTTTTACCACCCAATACAGTTGAAGATGTTTGGTTTAACACACTGGAGGACATCGATGATGCAGATACTAACACACCAACCCTTAACTTTACAGACTATGTAACTAGCTACTGGGTAGAAAACAACCAAAGCCTATGGAACCACCACGCAACAGAAGGTCATAGAACAACAAATCATTTAGAATGTTGGCATAGTAAACTAAAGAAGTTAGTAAAGGCACCTCACCCAAACATCTTCAGCATGATCAAGTTGTTGAGACAAGACTTCAACTTTTATTTGATCACTCAGACACAATACATAGTGTAACAAGAGGAATAGAAGAAGCCTTCCATGCTCTCATACTTGTCCAATACAGAGCCGGCGGGAAACGTACTCCAAGAAAGAGAAAATACAGGGAAATAGATGACAGACTGAAAACAAGGTTACAGAATGATGAGCTTACGCCAGTCGAGTATGGAGATGCTGCTTCACATCTCCTGCACATTGATTAAGACTTTGTATTCTCTTGTATGTTCAATTAAGTGCAATGTATTACTGTGTGAGTGCTATGTTTAATGTCAATTTAGTGTACTTTTCGGTGCTTTGTTTAGTGTAACTCAAAATTTAGTGCTTTGATTCAAAGAATTAAAATATAACATATTTCTATTTCTATTATGCCTATAAATTCATATTGTGCTTTTGAATATTATTTACACAAAATGTGCTATGAAATTATTAAATAAAATATTGTAATATAAACTATTCTTTTTCTTTATTTTCCACAATAATTACCTGGATTTACCTTGATTTATTAGTTTAGTGTTGTTACAACATAATCCTACATAATCCCATTGTTTACATAAAAATTCTGGGAACTCCTACATAAAATTTTACTATTTTACCTATAACATTCAAAATGTAGGAATAGCCAGAATGAACCCTATCAATACATGTTCCTCAGTTTCAAAAATATTTATACAAGTTTCACACGTTCGTTGATGCAAGGATAGGTCTCTCACTAACAATAATGATATAGTCTTAGATTACTTGTTTTTTTTTAGATATAAGCCAATCAAAGCACATACTAATGAATTTATATAATGATATTCTCAAACTAATCAGCAAATTTTCCCAAAATTTCATTGCATGCCGCCTTAAACATAAAGAAAGTCCCACAGAAAAAGTGTATACAATAATGTTCCGAGTATAATAAAAAAAAAAGGGGGGGGGGAGAGTACCCTGCCCGGATAATAATATTACTGATATGTAAAGGAAAGTTTTAACCACGGATTTGAACTTGACAATTTTATCTGAAGTTCACACCAGGTGACCAAGTACATGTTGAAATTTGTGAACCTCACGCGGATATCTTTAGAAAACATGCTAATCGAAACAACAGGGGTCGCAGGCATCTGTTTTCAAGTATATAATTCTAAATTTTAACGATTCCAATTATTTTATTCATTCGATAAATTAAAAATTAAAAATTCTGCAAATACATGTACAATATAAATGTAAGAAGATGTGGCGTGATTGCCAATGAGACAGCTCTTCGTAAACTTTACATTAACAGAAAAATAATTAAAATAAGTTTCCTTTTTAATACAAATTTTACACAAATGTTCAAATACAAAATTAAATTTTTTTCACGATAGAAACTTTTAAAAGGACGGAGACAAATTAAAAATAATATTTATTTTGTTCAATGCGATTTATTTTTCTAAAAGTTAAGTGGATAAAAGGAGAATGTGCATCAATCAAGCAATAGACTGGTATATATCACATGTACATGTATGTATCGAAAATTTTGCTTCTTAGACTTAAAATATCTAGTTCAATTTATTTCAATTTTTAAGCTGGGAACAGTATATCACCCGACGATGAAATCTGGATAATTAGGAAGTGTCAAGTCCCGTCAATATATATGTTCATGTTTTAAGCGTTTGTCGTTTTGTAATCTTTAAATTAGCATTACTATATACAAATATTTTCGTATATAGTCCACACTGGCACATATGCTGCCCTTGTCCTATTCTTTTAAGACTTTGGCAATTGGTTTATCTTGTAGAATATATTTTTTACTCATTTGAAACTTTTGTGCATTGAAATTTACAATTTATAAAGTAAACTTGAAAAGAAAGAGGCTATCAAACCGTCACAAAGAAACAAATCATAAACTACAGAGAATAACAGAAGTCATCACATTGGCATGTGTTAATTATTTATCCATGAATATTTACCTGGTATGACTTAGATTATTTCTGGTCAACTTCAGAAAAACTCGATTTTTGAATAAAAAAGGCCCTGATTCAAAAAAAATTCTAAAATATGAAATTTATATCGTTGGATAGATTTAAAACCAGAGAATAAATATACATGCGAATGAAGCTGTTTCTAATAAAGATTTCATGTCAATTCATAAAAGAAAACCCATGTGCACACATTATTGGTTTCGTATTGTATGAAGTAATAGGTCGTGCACCCCGTGTTTTTTAATTGAAAAAGGCCCTAACTTCTGCAATCCTTATCAAAATACAAATTAGATCTGTAGAAAGCTTAAAAATTGAACTTTCAAAATTGATGCCAATGAAAAAGAAATTTAGTGATATTTATTGACAGCTAATCAAAATTCAAGATTTCCTTTTACAATCTATAGTAAAATTATCGATATCGATTGTGGTCAAATTTGACGCATGCGCAAATAATGATAATAGTTGCGTATGTTACATTTTGTTATGTCTGAACATTTTATGGTTTACTATGCGGTATGGGTTTTGCTTATTGGCGAAGGCCGTACGGTGACCTATAGTTGCTATAACATCTACGTCATTTGGTCCCTGCTGGAAAGTTGTCTCATTGGCACATCATACCACATCTCCTTATTTTATATAGTACTTATACCAAACCACAAATAAAGGCAACAGTAGTATACCGCTGTTCGAAACAAAATGATTGTTTAAAATTCCATAAGCTTTCTGAAAAGCTTTAAACTTTATACAGCAAAGAGTTAAATAAAATGCTTATAACATGTGCAGCTAATTATTTGAAATCTAGTCCTTTCCCTCCAGGGATTGAAAAACAAATGCCTTGCAATTGGATGGTTATGTATTTCTCTCTGCCAATATTTCTTTAAAATCAAACAGTTTTTGCAAAAAAAAACTTAATTCCTACATCCCAACATCTGTTTGACCGATGCGAGTCAAACATATTTTTGTGCGTTATAAATTACACCACAGACTTTTTTTGTTCAAAAAATAAGTTCGAAAGTACATAATTACTACCAATTCACCATGATAAAGAAGGTTTATAATGTATAATGTCTTTCGGATTCAAATTAATTAAATTTGGTTAGCGTTGCAAAATTTTACAAAAACATGTAAAATTTGCAGTTTTGTAACAAAATATGTCTTTATCAGCGACAGATAATAATTTACTGTAAATTCAGAAATTATTGCGTGCATTTATTATTGCGATTTTGTCATTTTGGACTAAAATGCGATTTTAATTTTTGCGATATTGTGAAAAATCCTGTTTAATTCATATAAAAAATTTCAAAATGCGAGTTTAAATTATTGCGATTATAACCCTGTCGCATTTTTCGCAATAATAAAAACATCGCAATAATTTCTGAATTTACAGTAGATTGGGAAACAATATTTAAGAAAATGATAAAGACTGTTAAATAATCAGTGTCCAGTAGGATTTTGCAACTTTTAGATATTTACCTTGCAAGTTAAAAATAATACAGGGAAATCACATTTTTGTTCATAAAAGACATCGTGAGTTTTTAGTAAAGATTGACATTGAAGACTAGTGTGTGAAATGCATTGCCTCTTTTACAAATGTATATTCACGCACGTAGCGAAAATGTATAAATTTCAATCGACAAAGAGAAGCACGTTTTTACTGACTTTAATGCAAAAGAGAACTTTCCCTTTATACACAATATGTTCAAGCAAGTACAATGTAATCTTACAATCATACGACTCCTGATCACTCCTCTGTTTTCATATTTAAATAAAATCAATTGATCTCGTAAAATTTACGACTCCAGAATATCTTTTACAGTTGATTAGTATTTGAAACATCGGTACTAAATATATCATGCTGAAATTTTCTTTCCTATCTGGGACTATTATACTAACGGGACTGGAAACCGTTACGCTGTTCAGTGTAGTTATACTCAAGATCACAGTCGTTAAAACGCGCGTGAGACTTGACGATACGCCATATTGTTTTGACAGTGATACTGACAGAGTACTTGCTTGCATAATTTCTGTAAGTTGTTTTAATAGCTATTTACAAAGATAATCCTTTATGTAAACATGATTACAATTATGATAAAATATATTCCGATCTTTGACAGTTGTTATTAATCACCAAATCCCGCCTTAAATGTAAAAAAATGTCATTTAAAGGTTGAAAATTTTCCGCTTGATTACAGCGTGGGGACGCTGTGGGAAAAAAATTTACCAATTTTTTTTATAACTTTTGATTGAAATGAGATACGCGAGTTCTGTTTTTGTTAAATCACATTTATTGATTACAGGTTGGAATGACCTATTTTTATTGTCACTTTCTAAAGTGAAAAGTGGAATATTAATCTCCTTTTCATTACAACCGGAAACCACATGCAGGACTCAAATAAATTATACTGCTCCTATGAAATTGGCTACTCCTATTTATGTGTGCAATATTTGTAGTAAAATCAGGGTTTTTGTCGCTTATTAATGGTCTTCAAAGGGCATTAGCATTTAACTTCTTGAAAATATGTACAAATGGTTCAACAATCTGAACTACAAAAAAGGCTCTTTCACAGCTATTCCTCCAAAATATAGGCATATTGAATAGGGGTAGATTTTCTCATAAATTGGACTGAAAATGCATTGAAAAACAAAGAAAACATCATTCAAACAGAACAGTTTCTTGGAAACATGCATAGCCAAGTACAAGCACTGTTAAAGTCACACTGATTCCCTTAAAATAACCAGCTAAAAATGATTGTAAAAAAAAACGATATTGCCTATCTACATGTACCTATCCTATTTTTTTCTGCATGTTAGCTGAACACATGTATTATATATATTGGCCTAAGATCGATTTCTATCCGGCTCAGCACATATTATACTTTTAAATAGGCGGTGGAAAAAAGGCGCATTGATTGATTTTTTGAATGTCCAGTGACAAGTATCATATGTCTGATTGCTCATTGAAATAGTAAATTTAATATGAGCTTGTGGTCTGTTTATCATAATATTATTATAAAAAGCTGTTTCTCAACACCATGAGTCACCAAATGGATTATTATAATAATAATCATGATTATCATGATTATCATAATAATATACATGTAATTTAACAGGAAACATATATAAAATGCAAAACAAAGAATACAATAACTGCAGTTTTAAAAGTTTTTAAAGATGATTCGTGTCTGTATTTCTTCTGCTGAAGTATATATGTAAACAAAATCTTAACATGTCCTTTTTCAAAATGTTTTCTTCCTTTTTTTCTCTCGTCAATATAAAAATATTCTTTTCTGTTGAGTCATATGATTCTATCAGATAGAAAAGATTTCACATCAGATGTATAACAAGTTCAAAAATGTTATTTATTGTCAACTATTTGAACTTTTACTTGAGAATCACTTAAAAGATCCATTAATTAACTGTCATTTGTCCTCATTGTTGAAGCTTTAGCAAATGAAAAAAAAATACCATTAAATAATCTGATGATATCATTCATTTTTAAAAACAATAAATTATCATGCCAAAGTAAAAATAGCTAACTTATATTAATCAAACAATATTTTACAATCAAGTCAAATGAAACATGAAATTTCAATCTACATGTACCAGTATTTAATAGTATTGACCAGGCTGGTATACGTATTTACCACGAAACCATGTATTTATATGGACACATTCTTGTTTTTTTTATATTCTGTCTATACATGTATTAAACTTTAAAGAATATTTGTATACATGTGTATTTTAAGAGATGTTATGTAAATCAATGAGACAGCAAACCCGCAACAAATGTTAACAACTTTGATTCAGTTATACTGAAATTACATGTTTTTGTATCATCAAATGTGTAACTTTTGATCAATTTATCAATGTAATTATGTACATGTAAACTCTATGCCCTTCGATGTTTCATTGTAATTTCTTTTTATTTAATATTACAGAACCTTTCTGGAGACTTCCCTGGTTAGATAGTATTGAAAATGATACTATGTACAAAGAGAGTGGGAAAAGTGGTGAAGTTGCTGATAGCGATGGCATTTTTGGTCATGAGTTTTATGTGATATTGGACAAAGCAAACAAATACCACCATACTGTTAACCTAGAAGACTTTACTCATGTATCTTCATTTAAAACTGATGTATGGTTATATGACTATACAAAAATAAATAATTTAAAGCTCTTCATCTATTTATTTACATACATTTGACATACAAGAGATCAAATTTGTTCATGAAAAAGTATTCACACATTTGTCTTGTCCTTCAGTACTTTGCGTAGAGGCTTGGATGAGGTAGAGTCAGGTTTGTCCTTTTTGTCATGATGCGTCTTAATCTGTTGTGTGACTGCATGTCCACGAATTGTTAAAAACAGGGAAATTATACGTTCTAGTATGTATCCTGAATGAACCGGGTCGAGACACAATTTACCAAAATAATGTTTGACCATAAATGCAGAAAGAATCTGTTCCTTAAGCCCCTGTTTGTCTAGTGTTTTAGAATTAATACCTGCTGTTGATATGTCACAAACTTGACGAAGGATGGTTTCAAACTCCCTTACCAAAAGGAAAAAACTGTCACATGCTGTCTGTAGTCCCCCACGGTTTAACTTTTCAGTCCAGGCAGAATATTTGTTAACAAAACTTACTGGTGCACATTTATTCTGTTGAATACAAGATTGTAGTGCTTTACTCAAAGCATTGTGTTTCTCAGACTGTGAGAATCTTTGCGATTCTTTCTTCAGGGCACTGATGATATACCCAGCTATATAGTATAGTGTGGATTGCTCACTGTCACTTATAACTGGTAATTGGTCAGAGCTATTTGTAGTTGTAGGCAAGAACAATGATACCCTGTTCTGAATAATGTTGTCTAATAGTCCACGAAGGAAAATACGGAAAAAAACTGCTGAATATGAACTTGAGGAATCAATTATTGAAAGGCACTTGTCCCTAAGGTTTGTGTCAACACACGTTGAAAAGAATGAAGCAAACATTTCTTCATTTTCAACAAGTTGTGATGTTGAGTCTCTACTTGAAAAATATGGACCAAAATGGATCTTGTAAGGCAGATTTGAGTTGTTGCATGACGGTTTGGTTATCTTTAATATCTTTTGCAATCTGTATAACTTGTTGACCATGCAGAGAGACAGAACTATTACGGAATGGAAAATTAAGGATGCCTTCTAATGCTTGTGTAAAGGCTGAGTCAAAAACCCCTTGGAAGTCAGTAGATGACATCCTGAACTTATAGCTCTGGTTAGTTGTTGGTGTAGCTGCAGATGTTGGAGCTGTGCTAGACCTATGCTCAGAGGGTTTGATGTTATGAATTTTGTGTTGACCTCTCATATGCCCACAGAAACCGGTGATAGTCTTAAGTTGTTTTGCATATGTAGGACATGAATAAACTGGCTTGGAATCAGCAATTGCAGTTTTAGCCATTTTTGATGGTGTTGATGGCACATCGTCGTCAGAACAATCGCCAGCATCAATATCAGTGTAATCCCCATCAAATAAAAAATCGAGATCGATATCCCCATCCCAATGCAAAAAGTCTGTTTTACTACACATTTTGAAACAATAATGAACAGAAGAAACACATGAAAATGTTTTAAAGTATTTCTGATCAAAGAGAAGCCAAGCTAGATTTATTTTTGAGAAATTTATGTGTAAACACGAAATTTAGAAAACAATGAGGCTATTGAAATATTTTATGAAACCCGGGTAACTGTTGTTATAGTGGAATATTACAAGTTCACAACGGTTCCTCTCATATATAAGATATTGGATTCAACAAACCATAAGAGGTCTGAAAAGGGATGAAAGGAATCAAGTGAACTAATTAATACAGACTATTAACAGGTTTCCAGATATCTATCAACCAAATAAATGTTCCAATTGCGTCGCATCTGCGCTAAATCACATTTCCTGTTTGCATCTGTTTCCTTACAACCTGCCACTTACATGTACGTGTATGAGTATATTGCATACGTATTTTAGTTACATACTGCAACTTCGTGCCTAAACAACATTTCTTTATGTTCAAATAATTATATATGTACCTGTACTTCAAATCATATATCCTCCACCATAAAAAGAGACAAAATATACTATATACATGGGTACAACAACTTGACTTTGTTCAAAAGTTCGTGATGAACATTTCGGTCCATCATGTTTTGAAAAAAGAAAACACGTTTATGTATTCGAGCAAAATGACTGTGTTAAGCAATTTTACCATCGATTAAGACAAGCAGTAGCAATAGTCACACCCAACGAGTAGACCAACTACTGGCTATATTGATATCTAATGAATATAGAATTTTTATATCCCATAACGTCCGAACACCGCTAAACAAGAACAAATACCATGACCTTCTGTTGAAAACCATTGTGGATCATTATGGCGGGGCTAACCTTAATTTTTTACCTGGACAACACCTTCATCATACATGTACTAATATGTGCATATCTTTGGTACCTTTTCTTAACTGCATATTCCCTAGTGCGACCCAGCATAAATTAAAGGATATGGTAAATATCCAATGAGACAACTAACAACTAGTAACAAACTGTTTTTTTTTTTCATTTTTTTTTTTTTTTTTTTTTGGCTTATTTGTTTTGTTTTTGTTGTTTGTTTGTTTTCTTTTTTTTTTTTTTTTTTTTTTTTTTTTTTTTTTTTTTGCATAATAAAAATTTAATGGACAATGCAAGTGTATTCGATCCACATAGCGATCATGCTCTACTTCTTACCTCCAATCGAGTGACGATGAGACTGAGAGTGACCGTGCTATCTTATACATTCGAGGTACCGAAGGGGGAACTTGGAATAGTGGAATATTACAAGTTCACAACGGTTCCTCTCATATATAAGATATTGGATTCAACAAACCAACGATGTGTAAAACGGGCCTCGGTGAAATAATATTACATAACTGACCAAATACAAAACCGTATTTAATGTTCAGACTTCATTATTATACAACAATACTCATTCTAAAACATATCCAATACTTATAAACAGAAGTATGTTCCAATGTCAGAACATTTGCTATATTGCCCTTAGGCTAACTGTTTCAACATAAACATCATTAATTGAAACTAAAACTTTTCAATTTGTTCAAATCAGTATATTGATTTGCAACTTTATCAAACGAAGAATTTTCCGCAGCCTGCGACAAAACTGAAGCCGGTCCTTTAGGACTTATCAATTTCCCTACATTGGCATAATGATCAACCATATGTTTTGTGCCCCACCCTACGTGTTGATTATTTGCTTCATCATTAACCCCTAGCATACGTAATGTAATTGCATATCCTCTTCTACTGCTGTGGGAAGTTTCCCCTTCGTATAATTTTAACACATTTAAATGCAATTTAAGTCTCTCTGTCATGCAAGATGAAGTAACTGGTTCATTTACAATTTTGCGTGACCCTTTGTCTCGTATAGGGAAAACATATCCTTCCGTAAGAGTAATGCTTAACTCCTTAGCGTTGGTGATGTACTTTTTAAAGTTTTTGACCGGACAAATATCAGAGTCCTTTGAAGGAAGGACTATGAAATTTCTTGGATTATCTAAAGTAGCGACTTTACCAGCCGTTTGCGACACAAAAATCCCATCCGAGTCAGGTATTTGAAAACATCTATCTGCAGTCAATAAACCCAAGATCTCCCCCTCTACTACCAGAATGACATAAAATTGAAAAATAAGCCAGGTCTCTTGCATACAGAAATTTCGAAATAGGATCTACCTCTACTGAAACTCGATATGATAAATGTCTGCATAACTTTCCTAACTTACTAAACATTAATGGAGTAGCTTGTTTTACAGAAATGCTAGCGTTAGCCTGTTCCTGATTTATGACCTGCAAATGTTTTTTTAACAAATATGAGGCAGCCGGGTTACCCGTAAGAAGCATAGGATTCCACTCGCCTGATCGACCCTCATCTCTGAATAATGCTCTGATTTTGCCTAGTAAAGAATCAACAGACTTTGATGCCAACGTCCTTGGGCATTTGCATACTTGAAGGCCGTGTTTAGTGCGCAAAGGACAGTTGGTTACATGTAACTGCGTTTTCCCACCCTTTTCTTTGAAAATTAGAAATTTTCTAATATCTTCTGGACTTGCATTATTAATATTTTTTCGCGAATCTAAAAAGATGAAAAAATTTTCCATCTCGTTCTTCAAGCTGCATTTCTGTTTAGAATAACTAGCTGACTCTAGGAGAGCATCTAGTTGACTAATTCTATTGTTTATTTTATTCAAAACCTCCTCTTTTTTTATTTCATCTTGGTAGTCAGTGGCTTTATTCTCCCTAGCAAAACCACACGCTTTGCAATATTTAAAATCTATGTCATTAGTTACTGCACATCTTGAACACGTTATGTAGGGACACCAAATTTTTTTCATGAGATATTCCTAAAACAAAATATAAAAAAAACCTTATAATAATAACCAAAACACATTACTAAGTGTTGACTTCCAAATTTTATATACACACACATACACATATATACATATACATATTTACAAACCAGAAATTCACAAAACATTTTTAAACACATTATATAAATTGTTGAGAAAAATTGATTGACCTTCTTCGTTCAAGTGTACATGATCTCTCAAATGTCTACAATTAATGTTTGAATTATCCATGAACATCCAACAATTACGCTTGCATATCTTTTCTATCTTTTCATTGATAATGGTCGATCTTGCATTTATATCTTCATCTTTACACCTGATTATCGCTGATAATACAACAGATACGTGCCTATCACTTTCTAATATACACTGTAATATTTGCGCTAGATGTTCAAATTCTTGTGTTGTTATCAATAACTGGTTAAACTCATTCTTAAACAAGAAAGATTTGCTAACATTATTAACACCTATATGAATGAAAATAAGCTTAGGCGGGTGTGTCCTAATTAGCCTCTCAACTTTTGGTGTTATTTCACACACTAGAGCACCACTTTGTGAAGAAACATTTACCATTGGGTTATTAAAATCTTTTTGCCATTCTAAAAATCTTATCATTGAATCACCAACACATATCAAGTGAAATTTATTAGAAACAAGTGGTTCATTAAGAAATAATAATTTCCCATAATTAATGCATACTGATGGGTTTCCTTTTATACGAATTGCCCACAGATTTCCAGGTAACCCAAAACCATCTTGGAC